GCATCCACAGCCCCATATCAGCTCTGCCAGAATCCTGCCCAGGACCCGCGGAGTCGTCCCCGCACTCCGGCTCCTGGGACGTGGTCAGCCCGCCGCTTGCCGGCCTCTCATTCTCGCCCTCCAGCCACCCCAGCGACTCGGTGAGCTCTGCGCCCATCAGCGCCGCCGCTGCAGCCGCCCAAAGCGCACGCCCGCCTGCCTGTGCAAGCCCCTTTCCACATATCCCAGCTGCTCCGGCCCCGAAACGCATGGCCTGCCAAGGAGGACCTGCCTCCGCGCTCCGGGCCGGCACATGGAGCCCCGATTTTTACCACCGGCGGACTGCCCCCGCCATCCTACAGCAAGCGCTTCAACATGGCCCTCCCGACTGCGCTGCCCAAGCCGGCTCCGGCCCCCCGACCCCCGCCCCTAAGTGCCTCCCTTAATAAGCCCTCGCCTCTGCCTCAGCCGCTGTCCCACCCCGCCCCCGCCACACAGGTCCGCAGTCACGCCTTCAGCAAAGCATCAGCCTTTCGGCCACCCTTGCACAGCAACGCTTGCCCACACAGCCCAGCCTCCTCACCAGACAGGCACAGGAGGACAGCCGTCGGGCTGCTTGTGGGCTTGCCTGGCTTCAGCTCCTTGCCTTCCTGGGTCAGCCAGCTTTGGTCGGAGACATGCCTGTCGCTCTCTCCCGACAAACACCGCCTCAGGGCGATTGCCAAGTACGCCCCTTCCAGCCTGGAAGCCTACCTCTCGGCCTGCACGCAATTCGTCGCCTTCTTGCAAGCCCAGGATGTCAGCTTGGATAAGTTAACACTCGCCTGCCTCGCCGACTTCCTGGACGCCGCCGCTGAATCAAAGGCACAGGATCGTGACGTTTGCCGCGTATCGCCCAAGACCATGCTGCGTGCCCTCTCGTGGCTCGCCCGAACTGGCCAGGTGGAAACCCTGCTTAGCATGGTCTCGAATGCCATCATACAAGCCTTCGGCTGGGATCTTCAGCCCCGGGATCGCAAAGAAGCCCTGCCCCTGCCCATGGCATGCATCGTTGCCTGGGAAGAACTTGTGTGCAACCCGGCCTCGGGTACACAGCTGGTGCTACTTCTGGGAGCCTTCCTTCTGCATACCACGCCTGCCTGCGCTTTGGAGACCTGCAGAGGGTCCGCCTATCCAGCCTCAGCCTCACTGCCCAGTCCCTCCGCGGGATCTGCTGGTCCACAAAGACCTCTCGCACAGGCCAGCCTTTTGCCGTAACCCTCACCGGCCTCTCAGGCGCTGTGCCGCAAGCTCATGGTGCCTCAACTACCTCCTCTGCCTGCACAGATGCTGGCTCGCCACCGAGGCTTTCTGGAAATCAGACCTCGAGCCTGCAGTGCTGCCCAATTGGGCCTCTAAAACCGCCACGGATTTCGCTTTCCAGTCGCCCATGTCCTACTCGCAGGCCCTGCCAGCCTTGCGCGCCTGCATACAGCTGACAAGCACCAATGCCCCAAACACTGCCTGCAAGGAAGAAGCGAGTGCCTTCACAATCCACAGCCTCAAGGTGGGCCTATTGAGTGCCGCCAAGCAACAACGCCTGCCTGAAGACGCCCGCCGCACTACAGGCCACCACAAGAGCAGTGCCGAGCTATATGGCAGGGACGACACGATCGATAGGCCTATGGGTACAGGCCACCGTGGCCCAGAGAGTGGCGGAAGGTTGGCGCCCATCTCGCCCAATTGCCAGAGGCGGGCAAGCCCCTACCACAGAACCGCCCTTCTCTGTTCCCCGACACGTCGCTCCAAACAGCCTCGCCTTCACTCACTTGGAGCCTCGACTCCGCCGTTTCCTCTATCGCAGAGACGTGGCCTTCATGCACGCCAGCATTGCACAAAGCACTGACGCCGCCTCGGACGATTCCAGCCTATACTCCGACTCCTCGCCTGACTCCTCAGACGAGGGCGCCAGCCCCTCAGAGGCCCCGCCCCCACACAAGCCCTCAACAGCCTCAGACATCAATTGCATCATTCTCGCCCATGGGCCCTGGGGGGCCGTGCACATGGCGCATGTCGCCTCCGAGACCCACTGGCGCACAGCCTGTGGGATTCTGATCGGCCCAGCCGGAATGGAGCTGGCCAAGCCGGCGCCAAGCCGTATGTGCCGCCATAAAGCCTGCCGTCTAGCGGCAGAGGGCATTGCCTGCCCTCCCAGTTGAACATTTTCGTGCTCGCGAGAAAAGACGCCGCCAACTGCTGCCACTTAGTTTGCCCGCGTACTGAGCCCCCAAGCCTAGACCCGATCCCGCCCGTCACCCCCTGCTTGCCGAGGTGCACGCCGCAGCCGTCTTCTACCTGGTCGTGTTCGTTGCTCCCTGGTGCCTGCACGGCGATCGCTACAAGCGCATTGCTGCACACATCGCTCAAAGCAAGCCCGAACATCCCCTCTCAGCAGAAAAACAGGATTCCTTGCTCGAGATGGCAGCAACGTGCCTCAACCTGCCCCCGCAATCAGCGGCGGCTATCGAAAAAGGCCAGCCCTTTCGCCTCGGCCTCCTGTCACACTTGGCCAGCATCACCCAAGACATTGACCGGCGCTTGCCCTCAATTCTGGCCCAAGGGGTGCCCACGGGCGTTTTCGAGCCTATCGCGAGCAGCAACCAGTGGCCCGCAGTCGAAGCCCAACACGCCCAGCACGAAGCCCAACACGCCCAGCACCCCCTAGAGGCTTGCCTCAAAGAGTTCGACACCAACTGGAAAAACGCTGAGCCCAGCCAGAACTCCTGCAGCGCCTAATCGAAGAAGAAATGGCACAGGGTTGGGTGATCGAAATCCCCGGCGGAGAGCAGGAAGCCCGCGCCCAATGGCCTAAAGGCATAGCCATAGGTAAGCTTAACGTGGTACAAGCAGACGGTAAGGAGCCCAGAATGGTCCTCGATAGCTCGGTGTGCAATGTGAACCCACGCTGCACCCTGCCCGAGCGGGTGTGTCTGCCTACAGTTGCCGATGTTCGTGCCACTTTCAAGCCCCACGATCCGCCCAACGCCTCGCAAGGAGCCGCCCTCGACTTTAAAGCCGCCCATAAAAGAGTCAAGGTCCGCCATTCGGACCAAGGCCTCTTGCTCTTCAGAAATGGAGGCCGCCTATACGCCTACGTGGTTTGCCATTTCGGTGCCCGCTTCTCCGCCTACTGGTGGCAGCGCGTCGGAGCCCTGCTACTTCGCCTCCTGCACCGCATCATGGCCTCCGAGCCCCACAAGGCCTGGCTGTACGTGGACGACCTCCTGCTCTCCCTCCTACACAGCCGTGCGCCCCAACAGCTAGCCCTGGTCGTGGCCTACCTCTCCCTGATAGGAGCTCCTTTGGGCCCAACATCACATGGTGCGGTTGGCAGTTCTGCTTCCGCACCGAAACAGTCTGCCTAGCCCAGCCAAAGTTGGACAAACTCCGCGCACAACTGCTGCAGCTGCTGCAAAACAAGCGCGTCCCCCGCAAAGATCTCGAGGCCTGCCTCGGCCTACTAATGTGGGCCACCAATATCAGCACGCACCTGCGCTGCTTCACAGCCCCGATCTACTCCGACCTCCACAGCCCTCCCGGCACATGCTACCCAGTGCCCCCAAGAAGCTGGTCACAGTTTCTCTGGTGCCTGGACGCCTCCTGCAAAATTGTCAGGGATGCCTCGTACCTCCAACTCCCTCTGCATGCCAAAGTCATCGAAGTACGAGGGAAGCCTGTACGAGCCAAGACGGACATCTGGCCCATACCAGCCGCTGATAAAACGGTTTGGGTCCGCATCGCAGACCCATCAGCCTCAGAAATCACCCTGCGCAATGAGAGCAAAGCCGCCATGCACTGGCTCGCCCAATGCTTCGCCTACGACCATGAGCTCCGCACAGCATGGCCTTTCCTCACTAAGGATGCCCAGCAAAACATTGCCTGCTTCGAAACAGTTGCCCAATGGGTCCTACTCCAAATGGCCTATGAAGCCACAGGCTGCTCCAGCCTCCGATTCTGCGTCGCGTCTCGCAGTGACAACAGCCCCACGCAGGCCTCCATCAATAAACTCTTTACCACGGCCTTCCCGCTCAGCCTCTTCCTAGAGAAGGTTGCCTCTTGGGCCCACGCACGTGGCCTAGAACTAGAAATTGGCCACATCCCTGGGGTCAAGAACACAGACGCGGATGACCTCAGCCGCAACCGCCTAGATAAATTCTCTCGCTCCAGCCGGGCGCGGCGGTTCGAAGTGCACCTTGCACACCTGCACAAATCAGCCCACGAAGTCTCCCTAGCCTCCGCACAGGTGTCTTGGAGTCAAGGACTCCTGGACATAGCGTCCCCTGCACAAGCCTGAGCCAGACCACTCGCGGTGGGGGTTTTCCTGGCCTACTTTTCACTGGTCTGCCCCCGGGCCGCTAAAGTGGGGGTATGCCGCACATCAGGACCGGGACCTCTCGCCTGAGAGGCTCCCCGGCCTGAATGCCTAACTCGCCCAGAGCAGCACCCGTGAAAAGTGTGGCGCGTGCAGGGTAGGACGTTGTTGGCCCTAGTCCCCCACCCGCAGGGTCTAGGGAACTAGAGGGCTCGCACTACCCCTTCACCCAACTAGGGTTAGGTCTTGCAGTGTGCGTTGTCTGAACGCTCTGGGTTTTGTTTTTCCCAGGTGTTTTGACACGCACGAATCATGACCGACCATGTTCGCCCGGCCCAGCTAGCTCCTGGCTCAGCTGGCCCTGACCTAACCCGAGTTGGGGCCGTGCCTAGCTTGTGAGCTTTTCTTTCGCCCGCCCGCCCTTGCCCTGCTCACAACGCCAAAGCACCTTTGCCTCCCAAAGTGGAGTAGCCCACACCTTCTGCCGCCTTACTGCCTCCAGAGCAGCACCCGTGAAAAGTGTGGCGCGTGCAGGGTAGGACGTTGTTGCCCCTAGTCCCCCACCCGCAGGGTCTAGGGAACTAGAGGGCTCGCACTACCCCTTCACCCAACTAGGGTTAGGTCTTGCAGTGTGCGTTGTCTGAACTCCACCGTGGCTTCTCTCAGCGAAATGGTTTTCATGTTTGCCCGCCGGCGCGGCCGAGATGCGTTTCGAAGTGCTTTGCCCAAGAGCTTGTGCTGGCTAGGCACGTCCTTGCTGACCAATCATGTCTTGGAGCAGTTGTGGCCGCATGTTCTAGACAATACGGTGCCGTCCCAGTACGACCTCAACATTTCCGATGATGCGTTTGTGGCAAGCGTGCATTTTATGCACAGGCGCTGCCTCCGGGGCCAATCAATTTTGGCTGTCAATGTTGAAGAGAGGACGTGGTTCTTTTCTGATGCTGACCAGTTGACGGACGAGCAGGCGCTCTTTCTCCGCATTTTGCGTGGTTGCTCCACCCGCTCTGTTACAGTGGAGGCTTGCTGTCGTTGCGACTTGTGGTTGAAGTGCGAGATTCGCCAGTGGTCCTCTGCTGCGCTGGACTTGCTACAGCAGTTTTGGCAGCTCTGTTTTGATTTGAATCTGGGTGTTTTGATCGGTGACCTTCGAAGCGATCCCCTCGTTTGCTCTCTGCGAAAGCACCACTTGTCGTGTCTCCACGACACTGCACGCACGTGGCTTGTACGCCATCGCATTCCACTTGAGAACTGGACTTTGTTCCCAGTCGATCCGAGCGAAGTCCCACAACAGGCTGCCGTTGCAGCGCGTGCCGCGCGGTGGAACTTCCGCGGGAGTGCTACGTCTGTGACTGCGCCGACCGCGCCTGATGCCCCCACGGCGCCAGCTTCTGTTCAGTCGGACTGATGAACTTTACCATTTACCCCCTAGCATATCTTGTGTACAGATTTTCTAGTGCTTTGACACGTCTTTCATGTTTTGCCAGGAGTGCATTGCATGATTCGGATGATGCGACATTCAGGCCCAAACTTAAGTGGAAAAGACCGCTTGTTTTTTCATGGTAGCGGAGCTCTGGAAAGCCAGACTCCGAAACACGTTTCTTCGGCGGTTTGAGTTCAGGGACCAGGACCTGATCTTTCCTTTGCTTTGTTGGGGTTTTCTTCTGGGGTTTAGGCTGTAGTGTCTATCTCCCGCGCGCCTGCTGCCATAGTTTCATTTTGCGGCCTCCCAGGCTTTACGGGAAGAGCCAACCACGACTACTGCTGCAAGCCTTGAGGCTGTCAAAGACAAACTTCGAGAGTTTTACAGAGAGCAGCTGTTTCTTCGGGTGAAGCCTGAAAACCGAAGGCAAGCGAGCTGGGAGAAGCAGTTGTCTGTGGTCGAGGAAGCATTTGAACTTCGCTTGGAAAAGTTTTCGACAGTCGAAGAAGTGCTTGCATTTGGTGGTAAGTGCTTGAAGAACGAGAACCTTCGCGAATCTTTTACCTGGTTTGGTTTCGAGGCTGCCGAAGAGCAGTCGTTGAGCTGGGCAGCGCAAGTTGCTTTCGTGCACCTGCAGCAGGAGCCCCTTAATTGGGGGACCCTCACATACCCCTTCTATACTAGAAACAGGAGTAACCTAGGAAAAGAAAAGAATGCCCTTTTTGGTATAAAGGGGGTTTTAAGGGAACCTGAGCCATAAAAAAGGAATAAGGGCCTACTCTGGTTCCTAGTATACCCTATAAAACCCGTACTTCAGAACCCTTTCAGAAGCAAAGGGTTAAACCCTTACGATCCTAGAGTTTTGGCCCAAAATCCTAAACCCCTGACAGTCCCCTCATCGGCTGAGGTTGAGGCCCTGAGCAAGTTTAGCAACTTAAGTGCTCCAAAAACATGGGCCCTAAACTCTAAACCCTAAGCCCTAAACCCTAAGCCCTAAGTTAAGGGTTTAGAATTACTCCTTAGGACTTAGGTTTAAGCTAAGCCCTGAAGCTCTTAGGCCCTGAGCGTGCCCTTCCTAAAACCCAAAGGTCTTGAACCTCTAAGCGTGTCCTTACTAAACAACTAAGTTCTTAAGTACCTGAGCGAGGGCTTCAGGACCCGGCATGAAGTAAAAGCGTGAACCTGAAGCCTATGGGCCTACGGGACCTGGGAGCAGCACGCAGTTAAATCGCAAACCTGAAGCCTATGGGCTCTCCGGACCCGGGAGCAGCAGAGAGAGAGATCTCGAGCCTGAAGCTTATTGACCTACGGGACCTGAGAGCAAGGCGGAGAGATATCACGAGCCTATCGGCTCTCACAGGACCTGAGAGCAGCAGAGATGTGTATCGTCTTGCGCAAACTGCCCATTCTGTGACAGGTTTGCAGTCGCAAAAATCGGCCGCTGCGCGGGGCAGTTGAGTGATCATAGTATCTGTAAGTGTCTGGATGCCAAACAATGGACGCCGCATCTATTGACAGGCATCTTGGACACCTTGCCCGCAGTCTCACTGCCCGGCCAGTTGGGCGCCCGCCACCTGCACTGTGGCAAGCAGAAGCAGTGGGTAGACCTCTCAAATTGATGCCTCAAACATCTTCAGAAGGCCCAGAAATAATTAGGCCTCTCAAACTGCTGTCCCAACAGTTGCCTGAAGGCCCAGAAGTGATTAGGCTTCTCAAACTGCTGCCTCAACCTTCCCTGGAGGGCTCAGAGTGATTAGGCCTCTCAAACTGCTGCCTAAAACTTCTCCGGAAGGCCCAGCAGTGAGTAGGCCTCTCAAACTGCTGCCTAACACTTCTCCAGAAGGCCCAGAAGTGATTAGGCCCCGCAAACGGCTGCCGGAACCTTCGCTAGAAGGCCCAGAAGGGATGTGAGGAACTGCTGCTTCGACCTATTCCAGCAGGTCCAGAAGTGACTAGGCCTAGCACTTTGCTGTGGGTCCCGCGTCAGGTGTAGTCACGGGGTAAACCTGCTTGAAGTGCTCTCAAAAAATCGGCCGCTGCGCGGGGCTCCGAGTTATAAGGCCCTTGACTCTCACACTTGACGCGCGGTTGGCTGCAGACCGTTAAGAAGCCTTGTGGGCCTTAAGCTGCACCACCTTCGGAAACCCCTAAGCTCGTAAGCCCCTAAGCGCGCCCTTCCTAAACCCGTGTTGATAGTAGGCCCGATGTATCATGATGCTCCCCTCTGTAAGGAACATTTTGTGGGACACTGCCTATGTGTGTACCCTCTTTCGGCAGTCCATCACTCGAAGCGGCTCAGAGACATGTTTCAAGTGCAAAAAAGTGGTGTCAGGGCTGTGTAACTACCTCTGTTTGGTTCTTTGTGGTTCTCTTTAGCTTAAGAAGGCTGGGGCCTTCTGTGAGCTTGAATCTTCAGAGTGGCAGTTACTGGCCGTGTCGCAAATAGATTGCAACTTCACGCACGCAGCGTCAGCTTTCGCTGTTCCCAAAACCCTGAAAAGCTAAGTCCTCGAAGGACATCCTCTACTTGTAGCAGTTTTGGGCTCGCGGCTGCCTTGCTCTTCTTGAAGCGGCACGGCCACCCTGACTTCCGCAACCGCTTATACCAGTTTAGAGCTCATGGCTGCCCTCCTCTGGTTGAAGCGGCACGAAAGTGGCTGCGCCAGCTGCGGTGGCGCAGTTTGTCTGGGAAGTGGTAAGTCTGTCATGCAGGGGCATGGTAGAGATCTTGTGCGTTCCACGCGTGCTCTGAGCCCCCTGATCTCCCAACTACAAGGAGCAGAATAGAACGTTGACGCAGGGACAAGCACTTTATGTATTTGGGAGTTTGTCCCGAAGGCCCTTGGTCCGCATGTCCCACGTCCCAAGCTTCAAACGTAATTCACACAAAAGTTTTCCGAACTGAGACAACGCTTGCAGCGGCGCCGTTTTGCTGCTGGTGCGGCTTGCCAACATCAGCGACGCAGCTCGGTCACATGCTAGACGAGTCCTTCCAGCAAAGGCTTTCCGCTGGCTCGGCTTTATATACAAGCCTCGGATGTTGGGGTCAAGCAGGAAGCGGTCTAATAGTATTGGGATCAATAATGCGCGCATCGTCAAAGTCTCGCGTGTGATTTTATCTGGGTGCGTGCCATTGAGAAATATCCAACGAAGGCGGCAGTCGGACGTCAAGCCTGCCAAGGAGAGCGGAGCCAGCCGGCAGCATGCTTCAGGGTTTTATTCCATGTGTTGAGGATACGTTGGTGAAGTTCGCAACCAAACAGGCTTGGTAAAAAAGCCTCGCCATGGAATCCTAAGCAAAGACGGCTTCTACGTCATGAAGACTTCGTTGTAGAACCGTGCAGAGAAACGGCTGAAACTTGGGACAAGCATGTATCGGTTCTCTTCCAAGAGCATCATCGGGGTTGCGGGGTACTTCTGTCCATCGCAAGCCGACGTGAGTTGAGGCATGCGTCTTCTGCAGCACCGAGTGCTATTCACACCTCACTGCCGTGCATCTGGTGGAGTACGCAGACTTGGCTGGGTGGCGCGGGCCGTCCAAGCCCTAGATATACTGGAAACCGGCTCACCTTCTCCTGTACTGTCTTGTCATGTGGCATGCACGTTAAGGCCAAGTTTTTTTTAAACGCGTAACGTGAAAAGGAGGAGGCGTCGTGCTCGTCGCGGCGACTGGGCCTGCAAGCCGTGCCGCTCGCGGCTTTCGAAAGAGGCTTCAAAAGAGTTCAGGAGACTCAGTGGCAAGTTAAGTCTTCGGGAGTTTTTTTTTCTAGGTTCGTTTAGAGAATTTATATCAGAGACCCGTTTTTTGTTTCAGCGTATCTTCCTCAATCCGAAACCCCGAACAGACTCCTTGCCGATCTCAAGGTTCGCTATGGCATCCAATACAGCATCGCTTCCGACAACCCGTGTTTCGACTTATGTGCGCTTCGGGTTTCATTTGGTTGTAGTTATGTTCGTTTGGGGAGGCTTTGTTTATCATGCGACGTTGCAGCGATGTCGTTCTTCGTGTGGCAAAGTGAGCCATTGCCTGTCAGGTTGCTCACGAAAGCGTTCTTTGCCTTCGTGATTTCGTGATGTTGCCAGCGGCCGGGCTGAAAGGGAGTTCTTAACTAACTCCAACCCCAAACCTAAACGGCCGGGCTGAAAGGGAACTCTCAACCCTACAGGCAGGGTGGTGGACGCACCGCAGACAGCAGGCTCGGACGAGTGGTTGAGGGTTTTACAAGGGATTCCGAGCTCACGGTTTCTAGACGGCTGAAGAGGTGGTGGCGTTGGGCGTTGGGGAAGAGCGTCGGTGGAGGGGTTTAGCTCTTAGCCCGCAAGTCTTAAAACCCCGAATCATAAACCCCGCCTTAACCCTTAAATCTGAGCCTGTATCCTTTAGCCTTGAACACAACCTCAACCCTCAACCGAGGCGTGATGAGTGCGCTCATACTGAGCAATGCGGTGGGTGGTCTTATCCTTCGAAGCACTGTCGTCGCTATATCGCGGGCCCTCGCCGTTTCCGGCGCCGCAGTAGACCCGAAGCCCTGAACCTTAAACCCAAAAACCCTACGCCCTCCTTCGTCGGCGCATGGAGCCTGTGGATTCTGGTGGCCCTTTGTGAGTTTAGGTTAAGGGTTTAGGCTTTAAGGGTTGAAGCACATGGTGTGTAAAGGTCATACCTGTTATCCCTAAGCCCGAGGCCTAAACCTTAAACCCTGTACCCAAGACGGGACCATAGTAGACGTACCTTGTGCACATTCCCGACTGAGCACATATGGAATGACGTCAGCTCAAGGCTTGAAATTGTTAAGGCCTATAGAGCTTCAGGATTCATGGTATGTTTATAGCCCATGCTCAAAGCCCTAGTAACACCTCTGCTGTCTAGGCCCCGATGCGCTCTGCGTTTCACTTCTGGGACACAGCCTGTTGGGGTTCAGGGTTTACGGTGCTTAGACTCGAAACCCTCAACATCAAAAAACAAAAACTGCGTCAAATTCTTG